GTAGTAGAAGAAGTAGTAGTAGCAGGCGCAGGAGAAAAGCGGATCAGGACCAAACCGGAAGGATGTGGGTGAAAATAAGAGAAGCTTCAAAGCGGGAAAAGCAGAACAGTGGAGGAGCAGAAGAGCGAAGCAGAAAAGCAGAGAATTAGAAAAAACCGAAAAGCACAGAAACAGAAAAGCGAAAAACAAAACAAGCAGAAAGCGATGCAAGCAAAAGCAGGAGGCAAAATGGGCAAACAGAATCAAAGCGAAAAAGCATCAAAATACACCAACAAAACATAGTAAATCTTTGTGTGTGACGAAAAGATTATTTTAAGGTGTGCCCCAAACATTTTTGCGGTGGCTGCAATGACAATTAAACGCATAATCCGAGCTTCTGCGATAATGATCGTGGAAGAGTATACCTCACCCCCTGATTCAAGATGCTTCGAAAGATGTTGCTGCACCCCTTAAAACACCTGCCACGGACGCCACCGAAACGTGCGATGAGAGATTGCCGCCACAACCATCCAATGACTGGACCAATCTGCTGGAATCGAAGCACATCACCACCCTGCCCCATTCTAAGTAGCGGAGACGGCGTGAAAAGCCGTATTGAAATCCATGCGGGTCTGCAACATGCTTTGGAAGAGATGAGCCCTGGCAATGGGAATTCTGGCAGCCTGAGCCTGGAGAGGTCTCCACACCACCTGAGCAACAGCTGCACGGTCTAACAGTGCGAGACATCGTCAGGAAACAGGAAGTGGGATGTGTAGAATAGAGTTTGTGTGGAACGTTGCATGCAATCAATCTAACAGCCTGATCCTCTCAAGCTGTACAATCTGTTCATCCCCCAAGCCTAGGCGGTCTCATCCTCTGGAGGAAGGCCATAGGACCGAACCGGAACCGCAGGACTAGAACCGAGAAGATAATGAATCCTTCCGTGAAGTTCACGAGTCTGCTCCCCACGGCTGAACCAGCAAGTGCCTTTCAAGTCGGATCCCTCCTAGGCCTTTACCTCGTAGAGATGTTCCGCCGGCGCGTCGCCAGAGCGGGCTGCCCTGGCTTGCACCGGGCTCAGGGGCCGCTCGCGGAGTGCCTCTCAGCGCAAACATCTGTGCCATGACTCTGACGCAATGGCTACTTATAGGATGGAAATACCCTGCAGCACACGAGCCGAGACTTTGCGCGACGGTCAACTCTGGCAAGGTCTGTGTTCGGGAACCCTCAGAGCCAGGACGGGCGACTGCAGGCCGGAGATTGCAGGTTTTGGCCGGCTGGCTGTTGTTGGAAAATTCTGACGGCCTCCACTGCAAGAGGCGAGTCTGGTCCCACGGGGCTCTCCATTGCGCACGCCTGGCATGCGCAGGAACTCGACCGGCTTGCCTTCGTTTGTAGGATCTCTAGCCACCTACTCATGCGAGCCAACGGAGCTCACTTCCATGGGCACCTGGCTTCCGGATTCATTCACTCGATTCAGAGCTTGCCAAGACGTGGATCTAAGTAGTGCCTTCTTAGGATAGCCGAGCCAGGAAACACAGGGAAAAAATCAAGCAACTGTGCAGGTTACGAACTGCCCATCACACTCACTGACATACCAGAAAGTGAAGGCGAGGTAGAAAGACGGCTTGTTCAATGCTCTCCGAGTGCGGATGCCTTCGCAGAATCCAATCCACGGGTGCATAGATTGTGCGGGCCTTCTCAGAGACAGCGAAGGAGGTCATCACCTCAGCCTGCGAACTGGCGAGGACCTCGAGCAGCCCGAGTGCCGCGGTCGAAGAGTATATGCAGAATGGGGACACAGCTTCTTGAGGCCCTAAAGCTGCGTCCAGATGAGCCCCAGACCAATCAACAGACAGGCGATGACAGGCGACGAATCGAGACCGTTTCTGACAATTGTCGACTCTGGGCTGCGGTTCTTGCGGCTAAAGCTTGAGAGTCTACAGCTACACGAAGCATCTGGACCCACCCACCTGGCCTGCATGCTGACAACCCAGTCCTTGGAGACTGCGGAGTTGATTTGCTCGGGTTGGGTTGTTCAGCTCACCTGTTCAGTCCTGTCATGATTTTCCCTGCCACTTCCGCGGTTCCCTGTGGACAGGTGCCAATCTCAACGAAGCTTACGTAGCTTTAGCGGCACCTGTTGGGGGACCTTAGGGAAAGGCTGCAGGGCTGCCAGTCGTCGGGCGAAGCTGTCGTTCGGGGTAACGATGTGCACTACAACTTCGCGAAATTTCTCGAAGGCTGCCAACGACTGACTGTATCGCAGTGCCATTCGCACATTGCAGCTCTCGTGCGGGCGTTTTCCTCTGTCGAATACGCTCGAGGCGGCGCTGCACCGCCTGGCTGAGGCTCCGCCAGTCCTGCTGATCTGCCGGTGGAGCTCTGACTATCTCTGACTCTCTCCCGCTTTCCGAGCAGCCTTGTGGCTTGGGCTATGGTTCGGCCTGGTCGTCCAGAGTCACCTGGCCAGCTCGGAAGTAGCGCTCCCGCCGCTCCTGGCTTTGAAGCGGCGACTCTGATGGGAGCCGTCATGCCGAAAGTGTTGAAGTTGTTTTGTGATTTGATGTGTTGCTAGTCTTCTCTGAACAGAGATGGGTGTGCCAAATGGCAAGGGTAGCCAAGTACATATAAGGGTCGGAACGGCACCTGAAACACGAAAGCGTAAAGCTACGCCTTGTTTAAAACCCTGGCCTAAACCTCCGGCAACCTCCGGTCCTGCAGCTGCTCCTGCTCTTTCGGTATGCACTGTGCCTCTGCAGACCCCACGCCTGTCACATCGAGGAAGCGAAGAGGCACCTGAGCCTGAGGGAAATGCAGAAAGCCCCTGGGACCCGAAGCCCAAGCCTGGTGCCGGTACCAAGGCCTTTCGCCGGCCGTAGAGGAAGGTCACCTCACATGACATTGCTGCAGAGTTACGGTGCCCCAACCAGTCGTCATACCCGTAATATCCCGTAATCCGAGCTGCATTAAGCTCCCCCCCTTCAGCCAAGCGTCATTAATGCGACGATTCTTGTAGCCCTTCTTGAAACGCATGCAATCTGTCTTGTGGAAGTATGTGGAATCAAAAAGAACTGCGCGGTTCTCAACGTACGGGATGGTCACATTCCAATAGTTTGTCGTCCGCAGAATCTCATCGATTCGAGGATTTTGTACAATGCTGTTGTAGTCGGTGTAGTTCCATTCTGCTGGAGGGCCCACGCCATAGAGAACCAAGCCACCGGACGGCAGGGATTTGTTTTCCAACCAAAGGTTTGCAGAAGATGGGCTGATGAAGAAATTAATCTGCACTTGGCAGTCGTCTGCATGGGTGTCAATGCCGCCAAGAGAGCCATCATACATGTAGGCCCAAGCCTTGCATGAGAACGGATGCACAGCGGACTCACGTCACTTCAGTGACTATCGCATGCCAAGCGACGTTGTGTAACTCCTTGCCGCTAAGAAGAGGCAGTTGCTGCCTGTTGCCACCGACACGACGGACACATACTTGCATTGCCGAAAGCTGCTGGACTGAGTATTGATTCCCTTCCAGCTTTGGGGTGCCAAAGGTCGTAGGTGAAGGCTTCGCAGTCGCGTCAGAATCTTTCAGAGAACCCCTGCCGATGACTTCCACAACATCCTCGGTGCAAGTTGACAAGATTCATTGCGTCGCCTGAGCTCCTCATCGATTTGGCTGACCAACTCCGAAGCAAAGCCCGTGTCGAGGTAGGTGCCTAGGTCATGCCAGGTCTTTCAGAGCTTAGGGCTTCAAAACAAATTTCACGCCACATTTCTGCAACACTGGTCTTCCAGATTTGGACAGACCCTTACCCAAATCCTGCTGCGGCAATGAGTAGAAACAGCGGTGCCTGAAAGTTCAACTTCCTAAAGTCAGTCATGGGGCCCACATGGCCAAACTTGACCTGGGACCAGATGGTGGACTCCAGCAAATAATCTCGAAGCACCTTCAATGCCTAAGCTGGTACGGCACGCACACAGTGCGCGGATAGTTTTGATCCACTCGCTCACAGCTCGGGACGGCTCGGGGGGACCGAGGAAGCCACGCACAGAGGTCTGCGGAACGATGTGAAGACTGACCGCCATACACACTCACCCACTCACAGAGTCTTCCAATGCAGACATCTTGCATCGGGAGTGAAGAAATCATCCACCACGCACACTCGGTGCTCTTTGCGCAGAAACTCCTCCGAGACAAAGATGCACCGGAAAGCAAAAGGCGCGGGGGCGGCGGGTGAAACACTGAATGTTACACATCCAGGTGCCTGTCTGTTTCACGTATCACTTGCATGTATCCATGCCTGTTGCTCAAGGTTCTAGCAGAGTACGATCTACAGCTGTGCACCTGTAGTAAAAGAGACTCCTGTGTGCCTGT